CTTGTATGTATTGTTCCCAATGGATTTTGTAAAATCAATTTTTATATGTTTAAAAGTTTCCTTGGGGCGCCTGGGTGGCTCAATCGGTTGGGAGTCTGACTTCAGCTCAGGTCATGATCTCAAGGTTCATGAGTTTGAGCCCCGCGTCGGGCTCTGTGCTGACAGCTCGGAGCCTGGAGCCTGCTTCCAATTCTGTGTCTCCCTCTCTCTCTCTGCACTCCCCCAATGCATGCTCTGCGCCTATCTTTCTCAAGAATGAAAACATTAAAATTTTTAAAAATATTTTCTTAATTTTACTCCTCTATCATATTTGTTGCAAATATCACTCATCCCCATCGTTTTTTAGATTACAGAGTCTTACCAAAATATTTTAAGGTTTTTATTTATTGAAATAATTCAGATTTTTCTGTATATTCTGGAGTCCACCTTGGATAGGGAGGTCTTCCCACATTCCAACACTATAATTTCTCTTCTGTTTTCTTGGACTAATTTTCTTCATGAAAATCTTTAATCCGTCCAAGTCTGATTTTGAGGAACTTTTAGAGTATCAACAAATAAAAAGGGCATTTGTGATGTTCATGTAATGAAACACTGCACAGCAAAGAAAAATCACGTCTTAAGATCTGTGCTTTCCGGGGCGCCCGGGGGGCTCAGTCGGTTGGGTGTCCAACTTCGGCTCAGGTCATGATCTCACGGCTCGTGGGTTCAAGCCCCGTGTTGGGCTCTGTGCTGACAGCTCAGCTCAGAGCCTGGAGCCTGTTTCAGATTCTGTGTCTCCCTCTCTCTCTGATCCTCCCCTGCTCACACTGTCTCTTTCTCTCTCTCTCAGAAATAAATAAAAAAAAAAAAAACATTAAAAAAAAAAAAAAAGACCTGTGCTTTCCTAGGCCAGCTTTCTGTTCCTAAATATACACCCAAGAGAAAGGACAGTACATGCCCCCAAAAGGACGTTTACACAAATGATCAGCATCTTTTTCATACAACCAAACACTGGAAATGGTCCCAAAGTCCATACGGTGAATAAACAAACCGGTTTACTCATATAACGCAGTATTACTTTGTGATAAGGAAGAGCTGACCATTGATACGTGATGAGTTGAAACAAGATTAAGGGAGATGAAGAAGCCAGAGACAGGAAAAGCACATATCTCATGATTCCATTTATAGGAAATTCTGTTAGAGGTCAAATCCGTTCCTGGTGATAAAGCAGGGCAGAGACTGAGGGATGGAGCACGGAGGAAGGTTCTGGGGCAACTAGAATGTTCTATATCCTGATAGGGTGATGTTTAGGTGGATGCATATGTTGATCAAAATTCCCCAAACTATATCCCTAAATGTGTGAATTTTACTGTGTGCAAATTATACTTCAATAAAGTTGACCTTGAATTTTTTTTATGTTTATTTATTTTTGAGAAAGAAAGAGAGAGCACAAGTCAGGGAGGGGCAGAGAGAGAGAGTGAGAGAGACAGACAGGATGTGAACCAGGGTCCAGGCTCCCAGCTGTCAGCACGGAGCCCGACACGGGGCTCGAACTCACGAACCATAAGATCATGGTCTGAGCCAAAGTCTGACGCTTCACTGGCTGACCCCCCCAGGTGCGCCCATAAAGTTGACTTTAAAAAGTCAGATTTTAAGTGAGTAAATAGAAAACTATAGAAAACCATAGAAAACATTCTGCACTATATTTCCCCAGCTTTTCTTTCATGCATATTCACATAGACAAAAACACCAAATAGTATTCACTGCCTAAGCGTGAGACGAAGGGTAATTTTTGTGTGAGTGCCTTTCCGTCGGTGTTTTCTAGATTTTAAATTTTCTTTAAGTGTCTGTGGCTTGCCTACGTTTTGCCTGGCACTCCACAGCCAGTATTAATTAGAGACAACGCTTTGTAAATACAGCAGTGACCTGACCAAGGAGCTCAGCACCAGCCTTGGGGCATTCCAGGTGGCCCCGGCCGTGTCCACCCCCCACCCCAACCCCCCGACACACACAGACACACAGACACACACACACACAGACACACAGACACACACACACACACGTTTCTGCCAGCCCCGACCCTAAAAGACCACATTCAGAGTCTGGTGGTGAGAGCCGGCTACAGCTACAATCTGTTTCAAGTTCAACTAGCACGACCCCCTTTGACACAGGAGGCCTCTGCCGGTTTCCTGTTTTCAGTCGGCTCCACTTCCGGCCAGGCTGGCACCCAGCAGCCCGACTCTCACAGCGCCCTCGGGGGCGGTCCGCTCGGAGACCAGACAACTCTGCCCCTCCGATTTACTCATCCCCACCTCGCTCTCCAACACCGAGCCGCGGAGGCCGGGGCACGTGCCTGGACCAAACAACCGGCTCCCTCCTGGACACCTTCCGCCTCTGGGAGCAATCAGTTCGCGGCTTCCAGTTTTCACGCTGAAAACAGGAGCGATATTCTCAAGACACAAGAGGGTCGGGTGAAATTACCGAAGTGGCCGCACGGGGCGGCCCTGGCTCGGCTCCCTTCTCTGACCTCTCCCTTGGGCCCTCCGGACCCTACCGACCTCCGGCATGCGGTCACCAGCCACGGGCCTACTTCCCTTTGGGGGCGCAGAGAAGTGAAGAAAAGCCGACGGACTGGCGCAACAGTTTCTGCAAAGCTCACCCCGTGCGGCAGCTGGTGTTGGAGAACAGCGTCGGGAACAGGCGTCTTCCTGCAGGAAGTCCACCAGCCAGGGCTCCCGCAGCCCAGGCCCCTCCAGGGAGAAGGCTCCAGATGAACTCACAGAGCGCCTTCACCCTCTGTGGATGCAAAACAACAATGCTCCCAAGAGAGAGGACCAGCAGCCGTGGAAGTGAGCCGCCGGCGGGAGCGAGCAACCCAAGGGGGCACGGCCCCCACGCAGGCCCAGCCACCGACCACCGGAAACCATCAGCCGCTGGCGGAGGGTGCCGGCGCTAAATCAGGCAACGCAGGGCTTCCCACCTGGGCAGCCCACAGGGGAGGGGTCTTTCCAGTGTCCACGCGGCGCTGAGGCTTGACAGGGCCACACTGCCAGTGGCTGGTGGGGATCGAGCTCGTGTTTGGACCGCCAGTGGGGCAGTTACTTAGACGCCCCATAGCCGGGTCTCTTCGCGTGTTAAGTTTGGGAACAGCTGCCTGGCCGGGGCTGTGTGTGAACATGACACACGCGGAAGGAAGAGCAGCGCGATGGCCACATGGAAGGGCCACATTCTCAAGCCTGGAAACGTACAGAGATGCTCAAAGCCCTCAGGGCGGGGCCGGGTACCTCCCTGCAGCGTTAGAGACCCAGAGGGAGACACGGGGCCCTGGTGGGTGGTGCCAAGAGGCGCAGGGTGATATCTGAGGCAACACATTTCTCCCAAAGGGACATCAGTAAGATCACACAGGAGTGAAGTCTCAGACACCTAGCCAGACAGGCTCTCTGCGGACAGTGCTTCTGGTGACCCCACGGCCGGAAACCAAGTACTGATCGTGGGTTTGAGGCCACCCTTGACCTCGGCCCTGCCTGTTTTGGCTCTACCCACACACCTCCTCCAACCTGGGAGCCTCACAGCCTCAGCATCAGGAAGCGCCCGGGGCACCCCAATTCTGCCCCAGGGAATCCCCACCTCTGCCATCCCCACCCCCACCCACAATGATTAAAACAATAAATGGCTGCGTCTTGTGCGGTGACTTCAGTGGACTGAATTCCTGAACTCAGCTCACGCGCCTCACGCACACCCCGCCCTGTTCGCCCCCCACCCCCGCCTGGCCAGGTCCCTTAACTGTGCTTCCTCTGTTCACTCTCCGCGGATCCTTTAAGAAGGTTGAGCTCGATAAAGCCCTCACGGTGAAAGAGGAGTCCCACGTCAGCCCCTGGGATCCCTTCCAGCCCCTGGGATCCCTTCGGCTGAGATCCACCCCCTGCCTGGTCTTAGGGCCCTTACTCATCCCACCTGCACGACCTCTCCTCCACGCGCACAGGTCTCTCCTGTGCTCAAGCGCGGCCACCTAAGTGATGGCTGCTGGCCCCACCCCTACCCACCATCTGCCACCACCCAGCCGGGGTCTTCTCCTCAGACATACACGCCCCCCGCAGGTGCACCCCTCTGGCTTCCTTCCAGGGAAAATGACCCACGGCGGGAGGGACTTAGCCACAGGCACTGAGCTAGGACACCACCGCACCCCCCCACCTCCCCAGAGGCCCAGGATAAAAACTTGCACAAGACAAATGAATGAAGGGAGCACACCCACACTGCCCCTCCGGGCTTCCTCGGCCTTCCTTGGCCTTCCCACCGTCCAACACAGCCCTGGGTAACCCTCCTCCTCCCTCCCGGGATCCAATGACATCTCCTAAGCCTCTGCCCGTCCCTCTGCCAGCAGACAGCTCTGCCAGGGAGCCCCTGGGGGGAGTGTCCCCTGCGCCGGGTGTGCCCTCTCCATTTTTATCCAAATTACACTTCTCCGAATGGAGAGAGCCTCTGAAGGTCATGCGTCCAGCCCGCTGTACCCAAACCAACTCCCCACCACGCCCCCCCCCCCCCCCCCCCCCCCCCCCGCACATCCCAGACGCAAGGCCCTGAGTCCCTCCCTCGACTTTACAGCAACAACCCCCTACCCTGCAAGGCTGCCTCTCGGGGCTGGACCCGCGAAACAAAATCGTCCGCCCCCGGGTTAAACCGAAATCGAGCGCGGCGCGCCGGCCCCCCCGGGGACCCATCCGTAACCCATCTCACCCAGAAGGTGCCCTTCGGCTTTCTGCGGGCGGTCGGGCGATGCGGCCGCGATCGGGAGGCGCGTCCCGGGCCGCAGGCCGCCCCGCCGGGGGGGCATCAGGGGCCGCAGGGGCCGCAGGGGCCGCAGGGCGCCGGGTCCCCCGCCCTCCCCGCCGCACCGCCCCGACTCGCCCTTGGTCACCGGGTTCCCGGAGCGCACAGCCCCGCGGCGCCGGAGCGCGCCCCCGCCCCCTCCCCGGGCCCCGCCACGTCGCCCCGCCGGGCCCGCGGGCCGCGGCGACACTCACCCGCGCCGGGGGCGCCGGCTCCGGGCCCCGGGCTCCGCCACCAGCGCAGCAGCGCCCGCGCGGGGTCCAGGCTCACGGCGCAGCGCTGCCGCTTCACCCACAGCACCGAGTGCAGCGGCTCCGCCGCCCCCATCGCGCCCGTCGCCCGCCGGCGCCGCCTGCTCGGCAGGGCGCGGAGCCGGGCGGGGGCGCGGACGCCGAGGGGCGCGGGACCGTTAGCGGCCCCTGGAGCCCGGCCGCGCGGCGGCGGCGGGGACAGCGCGGGGCGGGCGGGGCGCGCGGGGCCGGCGGCGCTGCGTCACCTCGTACGCAGGGCGGCCGCGGGGACCGAGAGGGGGCCCGGAGGGGCGGGGGAGGGCGGGGGAGGGGCAGGGCCAGACGGGGTGAGAGGAGGAGCCCTGGACGCAAAGGGGGGGCGGAGGGGTCTTGGGATCCGCAGGGGGTGGGGGCCGAGGAAGGGCGGAGTGGGGGGAGAGGAGGGGCCTGGGGTACGGGGTGGGGGGACGGAGGGGTGCTGGGAGCTGCGGAGTTGAGGGGACCGAGGAGGGGCCGGGTGGCGGGGGAGGGGCGGGACGGGGAGCGGGGAGGGGGCCTGGAGGGGCTGGGTGAGAGGAGGAGAGGGGCTAGACGGCGGGTCGAGGAGGGGCCTGGGGTGCGTGCGAGGGAGTCGGGGCGGTGCGGACCCGGGGCGCTCTCGGGGAGCGTTTGGAGGGCGCTCGTCCAGGAGGAGGTGGCTTCGCTTTGCGCTGGTCTCAGGGTCCCGGTCACAGTTGCCGCGCGTGCATGGAGCTCAGTAGCGCCTCCCTGGCGGGTCGTAATGACAGGCGGGGTCCGGGTGGCCCTTCCTCCCTTGGCACAGAAAATGCTGCCTGGAGCCTCTGGGGGCGGCGGGCAGGCCAGGCCCTCCAGGTGGGCGCAGGGAACCGAGGCCAGTACGGGTGCCGTGTGGATGGGCGTCTTGAATCTGCGCATCTGGTCTCCTCTGGGATCCCTCGTTCTCTCCAGAGCTGGCCCTACCTTCCTCCTTGGAAATAAGCTTGAAGGCCTGGACAGGCACCCATGGGAGGTGCCAGCCCTATGCCCCCCCCCCCCAAGTTACCACCGTCAGGGCTTATAGATGGAGCTCCAGGATTACCTTGCAGGCCCAGTTCCAGGGTTGCTAGAGGGGAGCAGTTTCAGGCTCTGGGGGACCCGGCAGTAAGGGAAGGAGGGGCAAGCACGTGAAGCAGGCATCTCTCGGTGCCCCGCACATCCAGGCAGAGGATAGACTGTCCCTGGGGAGGCATGTCCTGGGCTGCCAGGGCCCAGCCACCCCTTATTGCCTGCTGGATTCTGAGCCCTGCCTGAGCTCGGGGCTGCAGAGAGTAAGAAGGGGTCCCACAGGCCCTGCGGCCCCTGCCCCAGGCGGTCAAGGGCAGCCTGCAGGGAAGGGTGCTGGAACCACAGAGCGGAGGGGCCCCCAGGCTGGCAGCGGAGGGCTTCCTCCTAGGGGCCTGGGAGAGAGCTGGGCAGCTGGGGGTGGGGCAGGCGGCTGACCCTCCGCTCCTGAGCAGGTCCAAGGACAGGAAGGTGCCCTCCTGACCTCTGTGCCCCCAGATTCTTTTCTTCATCGCTGGCCCAGCTCAACCCTTCCTTCGCTGCGTGGGCGGCCTTCCCTGACCTCCCAGCGAAATGGGCCACCGCAGTCCATCCCAACAAGGTTCCAGGCCTGCCCTCAGAGCCCGTGTGCCCCTCCCCACCCAGCTCTGGAAGGACACAGGCACGTCTCTCCCTGTAGCCATAGCGCTGAGAACAGTCCCAGCACGTAGGAAGCACGAATATTTGTTACATGCATGCGTCTGCCCCAGATTTACCAGCCAAGAGGCTGCCAGGCAAGCTGAGTAACTTGCCTAAAGGCACAGGGCTCAGAAGTGACAGAGGTCTGACCGCGGGGGCCCGGGAGAGCCATCTGCCTCCCTCTCAGCTCTCCCTGCCCAACCCAGCTGCCTTGGCACCTGCCAGGAGCCTCCCCTGCAGATGGCGGAAGGGTGGGCCTCACTGCCCGTGCTTGGCACCGTGTAGCCACATGTCCAGCTTTTACCCCGCCAGCTCCCTGTGATTCACTCCTCACCAGGAGCCCAGCCCTCCCCGCCCCCCCGCAGTCCAGGCCAGGTGCAGGGAGAGAGGCTAGGGCAGAAGGCGAGGTGAATCCGAGCCCGGCCCTTGGACAAGCCACGCCTGACCTCCAGCCCTGCCTCCCTCCCATGGCTGCTGCTCTGAGGTTCAGGAAATGTGGATGTGACACTTCTCTGGAAAGCCTGCCGCAGAGCCTGTCGGGGGCCAGTGTCCCCACTGCAGCGCATGAAGAAGGCTGGCAGGGCATTCATTCAGGGCCTCAGAAATGCCAGCCTCCCTCCCGGGGCCTCTTTCCATGGCTTCCAGAGACCCTTAATGCCATGCATCAGCCCATGAATTCAGGCCTGTAACCAGAGATGACTGGAGCCCCACCTCTGCGGGGGGCGGGGGAGGGGGGAAACCATAGGATCAACTGCAAAACACTGATGAGGCCTGGAGGACAGACCTTGGATGTGACTGTGTTTGGAGACAGGGCCTCCAAGGAAGTGATTCAGGTAAAACGAGGCCGGATGGGCCCTAACCCAACCTGACTGTGTGCTTCCCAGTGGAAATGTGGGCACACAGAGAGAGCAGGGGAGCTCACACGCAGTGGGTCAGCCGTCGGAGGAGGCCGGTGGTCTACGAGCCAGCAGGGAGGCCCCAGAGGAAAGCAGCACACCAGCACCTCTAGCTTCCAAAGAGAAACTGAGAAAAGAGGTTTCTCCTCTTTAAGCCTCGCTCTCCGGGGTAGTTTGCAGCTTGGGCAAGTAGTACGGTGGCCTTCCATGCATGGGGGGGGGGGGGGACTGGAGTTCTGGGCCTGGCGAGGAGGGGCCTGGCCAGGGAGGGACCCCTCACTTGTACCCAGGGGAAGAAGGAAATGCAATGAAGGCTGAGTTATCAGAAGATGCGCTTCCTGCAGCCCGCTGGAGCGGAGGAGGGGAGGGCAGGGGTCAGACCCCACGTCAGTGAGCACACCACTGGGGCCCCAAGGCAGCTGCCAGGCCCCTGCTGTGTGCCAAGTCCCGCTGGGGCCGTCAGGGGCCAGGTCTGAAGGCCCCCAGCAGAACAGCCAACGGGAACCTCCAAAAGGCCAGGACGACCCCGCCCTCTGCCCTCGGGCTGCCCCCCCCCCCCCATGGCCTCCTGGCCCCGCACTCATCTCTGTCCCTACAGGCTTGCCTTTCCAGCGCTGGGCCTGGCCCAGATGCCGTGCCCGGAACGTCTGGCTGGGAAACCCCTACTCGGCCTCTCCTCTGCCTCACGTCCCTCCTTTAACGCCACGGGGCCCCCAGGCAGCCCACGCCGGGAGGGCTCCACTCAAGCTGCCCCTTGTACGTTCCCAGCCCCACCCCTGGTGCTGCAACAGCGTGGGGTCCCCAGCCCGTCCGTGGCCTGCTGTGCGCGCGGCTGGACCCAGCCCTCCGCAGGGATGCCAGCGAGGCCAGGGGGCATGACCTCAGCTGCTCAGACTCTGCCTGCCACCTGACCCTGTCCCGTGTCCCAAGCTTGGGCTGCAGACATCCTGACCAGCAGCGGCCAACACCCACCGCCCTGTGGGCTGGGTCGTCCGTGCCCGAGGCCCGCCGGCCCCTCCTGGCCACCGGCGGGGACCTGGGGCTGGCAGCACCTTCTAGCACCGTCTCCCACAGAGCCTCTGACCTACTTTGCCCGTGTCCCAGAAGCTGCTGGCCTTCTTTACTGTGACACAGCCGCCTGCTTATCTTTCCAGGCTTCCTCCCCAGGAAGTCGGTCATGTGACTTGACACTGGACTGGTGCTGGGTGGGGTGGGAGGGTGCCGGCCCCCATGCCAGGAATGCCGCCCTCTCCCTCCACCCTGAAGGAGGGGCCTTCCAACCGCAACCTGTCAGGGCCGATTGCCTCGAAGACACTTCCTGGGCCCCAAGAGGCCTGAACATTCGGAGAATAAGCTGATAATTTACGAAACAGGCATCCTTACATTGCACACGTGACCCAGACAGTAACCGCTGGAAGTGGGAGTTATTTACCCCACTCCACAGATACAGAGACCGAGACCCGCCAAACTAACCTGACCTGCTCAAGTTACATGGAAGGAAAGGGAAACAGAGGGGTGGGTGCTCCAGGGCCCCACTGGTGTGGAGGAGTCAGAAATGTGAGAACAGAAGCGGCAGCCGGCACCCTCAGCAGGCACTGCCCCCACCCCCGCTCCGGACACTCCGGTGGGGCCACTCTGTTCCACTCTCCCGGGCACGCAGGGCCTGCCCACCTAGGAGAACTGGAGGCTGGGCTGGAATAGAGGGCGGCTTTCAAGGGGTGGTGGCCACAGGGTGGATCTGAACTGGAAAGGCTGGTGAGGTGGGGCCGGCTGAAAAGAATACCAAAGGCGGGCAGGGATCGGGGCTGCTGGCACGCCTGGAGCTGTGGGGAGTGCCGCGCCAGGGCGAGGGCCCCAAAGTCCGGGCTCGGGCTCCGTCTGGACCCTCTGGGCTCCCCGGGCCTGCCAGGGTGACCGCCTCCATTGGCGGGCTGCCTGCCCTGCTAGCAGGTGATACCGCTGGGAGGGGAGGGAGCATTTCCAGGGAGCCTGGGGACCAGGGGCGGGGGCTCCAGGGGCCAGCGGGGAGCCCGGGAAGGAAACAGGGCTGTGGGGCCCTGAAGGCCGTCTTGCATCCATGCTGTCCCTATGGGGGGCAGACCAGTCTGTTGTCCTTGGGGGGTGCTTTTGGCTCAGAAGCAGATGACCCCCCCCCCCCCACCGGCCAGGGAAAAGGCTGGCCTCTGTCGGGTGAAGTCTGGGGTCACTCAGAGCGGGAGATCCCACCCCTCCACCCCTGAAGCCAGAAGGAATCTGGGCATCCCAGTGGGCCTGGGAGTCACCTAAGGTTGTGTGTGGGCGGGGGGACACGGGAGGGGGAGGGGAGCTGAGGCAGGGAGGGCCGCTTCCTTCCACAGGTGAGCCTGCCTGTCCTGGGCTCTGTGGTCCAGGGTCCACTTCTGGCTGATGCAACGTGGTCTTGGCTCCTTTTAGGGGGTGGGTGGCTGCTTCACTGTCTAGCCTTGCAGACTTGGAGAGAGGTGCCAGGGGAGCTTCCCCCCCTCCCCGAGGGTGGCATCTGTGACCCAGGGAGGAGCCCTGGTGATGTGGAGCGGGAGGTGGGGTGGGGAAAACCTGACCTTGT